CTGAGTGCTCACGTCATAGGTTAAAATAGTTCTTTTTTTACTTTGTTTTATCAGCTAGGTCATAAATATAAATTAATAACACTGCCACTCTAAAAAAAAATTCAAATATCGTTGTTGTTGATGCCGCATTCTTAGAGAGTGAACACGAAAGAAACCATAAAATGTAATTTAGTCATTGTTTCGCAGATTCACGACCATTTCACACTGTGTACGTCATTTCGCATTTTAGGATCGATTTTGAATTTTATCGTTGATTGAAAACCTTCAAAAATATACTACAGTGACCACCAAACATATAATTATCAATTTTTTCAGTATTTGGTAATATTTCGCACTTTTAGCAGTTGTTAAAATCTCCCATCTCTACTCGTGAAACAAAAGCTGAAACAATGATTCTAGTTGTTAAGTTGAAATACAGCAAATATCTGACGCGTTTGAAGTTTTTAACCAAACAAGTCCGTTATTTGTCATATTGGGCACAAGGGCGAATGCCGTTCACTATTGAAGTATTTATTTTAAAATTCATTCGGTATATTTGGTTTTCAATAATTATGGTTATGTTCTGCAAGAAAGTGCGTCCCTTACATGCAAAAAAACAGGCCTGAAGGGCCTGAAGTTGTCTTAGCAGTCGCTGCCATTACAGCGCACACATCGCCACCGCCTCGCACGAGTGGAGCCGCTGGCCTCTCGCCACATAAAAAGCAGACCGAGTGTCACACGATCGGAAGATACGACGCCCACGTGACTAGAGCTAGAGTTACGCTCATTTTCTTGCGGTGATGCATCAGCTTATCAGTGCTGGGAACCTCTCCGACGCATCGGAACCTTCGCGACGGCTCTGCCCGACCTTAGATGTTATCAAACTCTGAAATGCAGGTGAAGCAAAACTAATCACGGAATGCTAGACAATGCTACTCATACATGCGAGCATGTTACGCATATAAATCTCTATTGTAAGTTATTTATATTTATAAATGGGCAAATTTATATCATTTGTCTTTGAAATAGTGCGTTACGTTTGAAAGCTTACAAGTTACCGTTGTAACTTGTCGTTCATGAATGTAACCGTCGTTAATGAATGTCTAAATCAAACATGTGAATATACTCCTAAATATCCTACGCACACTACAAAATATATACAGACTCGGTTCGCCCTGTTGTAGGGGCAATTTTTTTAAATTATAGTTCGTCGTTCTCTCATACGGATTTCAAAACTTCTTTGTCAACTAATACAAGCTACATTTTCCTCTTCCCTTGGTTTAATATTTGATTATTCTGTTGTTGTTTTTTAAAGCAGACAAATCCCTTCCGCTGAATATTCACGTAGCTCACATTTTTTGTGAAAGTTAGCAAAACAATTCTCAGAACAATTGGCTTCACAATCAAAAGCAAAGATTATTAGTCAATAAAAATGTTATCTTCAGTAAACTAAATAGCTTTTGTTTCTGCTAAACAACAATACCTTGAATTTCCTTTACAAATAAAAACAACTAAAACACAGACCCATTCTGGAAGAAGAAATACGATTCACACATAAAGAACGCGTTTCACTCACAAATCCATACGACGACGATCTGAAGAAGCATTTAACCCTGCATGGGTGAGATCCAGAGGCTCCTAGAGAAAACCCGGGGCCTGGGGCAGTTGATCAATGGGACCCATCATTTCAAACAAAACATTCCCTCCTCCACCAATTCATAAACCGAAATCATTTCTCCGTACATCAGAAATAACTTATAACGTTAACTTTGGATTAAAGAGAATACATTTTATATATCTTGATAAAGTGATGAGAAATTTGGGGCTCCAGTTAGGCCGTGGCCTGGAGCTTGTTTTTATTGCTTCCTGCCGCTGAAGGTCGCCCCTGCTGGGAACAGGCGAGATGCTGTGAATATAGTGATGGCTGGAGTTCGTATCGCCTTGCGCGAGCCGTGAAGCGGCTGGTGGAGGCACTGAGCGGCGGCGAGCACTCAATTCGATGCGCTAATATAGGCGAATCCTTTCGTGCTTCTCGTTGTTTCACGGCAGAAATACCTTAAAATTTGTTTATGATGCACTCAATTCTCGCTAAGACGGCCCTCAGTAATCCGGTTCAATCCGGCCTCCAGTCGCGCAAGCTAAAATGGCACGCAAAACAAGGAATTATCTTGCGCAAAAATGTGTCCTTCATTAAAAATGTCGAACAACACTGTGCACATTGAAAATAGTGACATTCTTACATTACAGTTCCGTACTATGGCTTTTAAAAGGAAACACGTTGCGTTAGACCTCAAGCCGAAACTCGAAAGTTTAGACGACTTCAACCAAAGTTCTTCGCAAAAAGCCATTGATGATGAGTACGATATTGGATGAGCAACGAATTTTCTGTGAAAATGAATGTGCAATATTTTCCGATGTAATACATTGTATACTCGTATGTGTTTAAACTAATTTCAAGCCCGCTCAAAAGTCCGGCACCTCCGCTAATTCGGCACCCGTATGTTCAAGGAATGGTCGGATTAGCAAGGGTGTAGTGTACTCAATTCTTCTCTTCAGTTTCAAAAATTCATAATTTTTATATTTTTTAAAAAAATAAATTTTATTTTAAAGTCGCCTAAACAACATGTTTATGAGTGACTGACCGAACAAGCTATTACGTAGATACAAGTTCAGTTTACATTGTATATTTTCATTTTACAGTTTAAAACTTTTCAATTTCACATGTTTACATTATTCATCACAATCCTTGACAATTTATTCGTTACTCATTAACCCTTTTTTATGTACAGTACAGTTTGTATGTTTGAAGTACAAGTGTTAGCTGTGATACAAAGTTAAATATCATTATAGTAATTAACGAAACGAGTGCAATGGTGCCTCTGTATTCACGTGTTATGTTCAATATGAAAAAAAACTCTTATTTTCAACTCTGTTATGTTCAACTTTGAAAAAAAGATTATTGTTTGGTGACATCCAAGAAGTGGAATCTGTTGTCACCTGATGATGCTCAAACCGAGAAAAATAATTTTGGGTTATTGGAATAAAGAAACTAAAAGTTTTCCTAAGTACCAGAATTAATAATTGACCTACAAGACTGTGAGAAGGAAGATTAAATACAAGAAATGGATAGCCCCTGAAAGGGATTCAACTTTATTACATTCAAATTTTTATACTCATGTTTCGTTATACGACATTGTTTAAATGATTTTGTGTTTCAGACGCACTTATTTTTGTAATCGTCATTTATTTTTTTCTGATGTGGTCACATGGCCAGGAAAGAATATTAAGACATAGTACACACACATACACACACTCAGTCGCCTCCCTCTCTTTCTATCTCTCCCTTTCTCTCTCTCTCCCTCTCTCCCTCCCCTTACACACGTACACACACACCAAATCAATCCATATATTAATCCCGCTGTGCAATTCATAAGGAATATCCGACCCTTTGAATATCGCGGAACACAAACAAATCCAAGCCAAAATCATAAAAATTAAAAATCTCAGTCTCATTGGTCACAAAGCTTGCGTTTCGGAAAATCTTATTGACACAAGATATATTGGTTGACGCAAGAGACGACAAGACTCGTAAAAACCTTTCGTTTTTGCTACCAACTTACCTTCAAAACTGTTCCAACTTCATACGTTACTCAAAAAATAATTAACATATATATTCCTATAATGAATGAATGTATGGTACATTTGTTGAAATGGCAGTTAAATATTTCTCACTTTTAGCTTGCCCTTTCACCATGTGTACATTCAAATAAATGTGCAAATTTGTGAGAAATACTACAAAAGTTTTTAGCGCTCAGTACCACTTCTGTCGAATAAATGTTACTAAGTTTAAGCATATTGTAATCATTTTACGTTAATATTTTTAGTGATTTTTCGTTTTCTTTAATGCACAATTAACTGTTACGTTTTAAATTCATATGCTTGCTAATTAGAGAGTCTGATGTAATAATTACATCTGGTGGAATTTTTCAAGAGTTTAACCTGTTAGTTGTGTCTTTTACGGTGCCGGCACAATAGTACATTTTGTTCATGCCTCATGGTCGACTGGAAACACCTTGGCCTCGGCTGTGTTTTAGTGACTTAATTAAACGATTTTGATCTTTTTTCTGAATTCTGATTGGTAGTTGTGGAATTTTAATTGCCAGCTGGACTTGTAATTGCTCGCGTGCCGTTAACATACTGATAATGACCGAATTTTTATGGAATTAATGAGCATAATGAGGTAACTAAACGAAAACAAACACTTCTACAAAATTGAATGACTTTCATATGAAAACTTGCTGCCACTAGAATAAACTTGAAATCGTCTTCCACTAGGTCTCTATTGGTTGTAATTTAGTAGTAGTCTGGCTCTAATAGTCTGATAGCTTTAATTAATAAATTCGTACAATATAGTAATTCACAGCCGAGGCCAAATTAGAGTTGTAGATTTCCTTTCAAATCGTCTCAGTTTCTGTAGCTGTGTGACGAAGAAAAGCACAGACAGATGGATCTTAATTGTTATGGTGAAGGGAGTACGTCATGTTCACCACATGTTGCTCTTGCTCCCCAAGCATGGGGATTTAACTAAGCCCAGGCATGGGGGACACCGTTAGCTGGCCGGCAAACGCGTAGTTCTACCCAAAATGCCAAATGCGTACGTTTACTATAATTATATAATTTTTTAATTGTTTGGTGAATGGTTTGGGTGGGTGGGTTTAGTGAATGGTAATGGTTTAATTGTTTGGCCGAATCTGTCGATGAGCGGTCACATCGCCTTTGATTTCAATGTTAATCGGGGCCCTTCGTCGGGGTGCTGTGGTCTGGCGTGGCTGGGAGCGTGCGGCCGGCGCGGCACGGCGCGGCGCGGCACGGTATCGTGGAAGGGTGGGCGGCCGCGGTGCGCGAGGGGGGCGGGGTGGGGTCGGTGGCACACATCGGCGCGCCGGCAGTCAGTCGCTCAGCGGTGAGCGGGCAGCAGCGTCGCGGCCGCACCAGCACCAGCTCTCCTCCCGGCCGCAGCCATGCTGGTGGACGAGGTGCACCGCAACGGGGACGTGCCCGCGGCCACCGACGGCTCCAAGGTGAGGCGGCACGACGCGGCGCTTGGCTTGATGTACAAGAACGATTGGTCGATATGGGTCTCCGGGCGCGTCAACTCAGGTGTTCTTTGGCCCAGAACGACAGATTGGGCGCCGACATAGATACTGCGGTTGGTGCTTTGACTGATTGGTTATTTTGCGGTTCCGGGAGCGTCAACTGATATGGTCATTAGTTCCGTGAGTGTGTATGATGTTGTCTGGCGGGAGGTTGCGGTGTTCTACTCCCGCCAGAACTTGAGATTCAGCGCCGACATACACGTAGGTTCCATGATCGGTGCTTTGATTAATTGGTCATTTTGTGTTTCCGGGACAGTCAACTGCTATTATCTTTCGCGCCTTAGACTTAGTGCAGGTTAAGTCATAGGGGGGTGGCCCTTCCTCTGCTTGTGCGTAAGATGCCCACACATCGGCTTGTGGGGTTTCCCACCTCCAGGCACCTCCTCCAGTGGTGCACCGCTGCGGCCAGGACACGCTCTCAGCGGCCGACTGGTCTCTCTAAATGTGTGGCAGTGCAGTGCGTGGAAGTGTAACTGTCTACAAGGGGAGACGAGGGACAAGGAAGAGGAAGGAAAGGTCGCGTGCGATATGTGGCCCGTTCCTTGTACTGCTCCGGCATTCACCTGGTGTTGATCCCGGTAGAAATCCCGGAAAACTACCCTTCAGAGTAGCTAGCTATGAAAATTCTTCTCCAGACAGCGTCTGAATTCGCAAGAAATAAATCCCATCTGAATAAGTATCTTGTCTTCAGGAGACAGAGGAGGAAATATCATTATCAAAGCTGAGGCAACCCTGAACAGCCAAAACATTATCTTCATATTATAGTGAATCTAATAGTTAATATACTACGTTTGGCATCTGATGACATCAAGTAACTTGTAGCATGTCAAAAGAAAACGTGGTAAAATTTGAACGCATTGCGTAGAAGTGAATCGTACATGCACATGCAATTTAAAAGTTGTAAAATCATACAGATACAGCGGGTCATGTAATCTGATCGGCTGCTGTCAGCCAAATCGCTGTTTAAAAGTGCTTCTCTATATCGCGTTACTTCACATGGATCTTTCCGACTTGAGATGGCAATGCCAAACCCACAAGAGTTTAATAATATCAGTTTAAAAATAATACTAGTTATTGTTATCATTATTTTCTATGCTTTGGAGTAGCGACCATCCATTTAATCTAAGGTTGCAATTTCGATGTCGATATTTTGAAAACATCGATGTTTTTGTAAAAGTATTGATCTTTTAATATCTATTTATTGTAGCCAACGCCTTTTAATAACGATATTTTGGGTCGATACTTTTACATTATCAAATGTTTATTTTTAATTGAAAAAGTATTATAATAACTAAAAGTATTTTTATTTCAATAAATTTATCATTTTTCCATTCGAAGTGACAAAGGGTGAAACTCAAAAGTTATATAGTAAATTTTGTACCCATAAATGTAATATTCCTTTTGTAAAATTCAATACGTACGAACGTAGCTTGTCTGTGCCTTACTATACCGCGTTGTTGCGGGTGGATTTTGTTGCCTTGGGATGGCAACGAGGAACGTAGTGGGAAGATACCGCTTTTCTCGTAATATCAACCATATAATCTTATTTTATTATAATTGTCATTATTACCATTATTTTCATCATTATTCACCATGAATTGTTGTTATTATTATTTAATATAATTGTTATTATTATTTATAATCATCTATATTACTGTTGTAAAGCTCAGGGAGAATCGAAGAGCTTCAAAATAATCTCAATTTAGACTAACAAGTTTTTAGCTACTTTTGATGACTTTCTTCAATTTTGGATGTACTCTCAGAAATAACTATCAATTAATGGCAAGTTTACGATCAGCATTTGCGGATTGTGTTGTTCAACTTGTGTTTTCTCGTATTCAGATTGTACTTAACGTTATTATTTTTTGACCCGTGTGATCGGGTCAAAGCATTTCTTGAGTCGAATCCGTAAAAGCATGAAATCAAATGAGTTCGTAATGTTTTTACTAAGTGTTATCATTGGAGCACACGGGAGATTATCATTAACATCTTGTGAGAGAAAAATATACTAAATACGAGTATTAACTCAATTTCTGTTTACATGTGCAAGTGTAAATACAATATGTGTTACGACAGAAACTGCTGCAACCACCCGCTCTTTTCCAATAGAGCTCTTCACTCAAGAGGTCGGATTTCCATCGCTTCCTGGTCGCTCTTTTCCGCGTTCAGTGGCCTTCCTCATTCGGAAGATAATTTTCTAAATGATGCTGTTTCGGTACACCACCTATTAATTGCGACGCAGTAGAATACAATTTTTGCATGTCTGCTTCTTCAGGAGTTGGACAATGTATAAACCGATTCTAAAGCTCCAAACAAAACTCGCAACGTACATCTTTTTTTCAAAATTTACAACTTTCAATTCATATTGTAATGAATTAGAGTCAGGAGTACTATAAACTAGTCCTCTATATTTTAGGTTCTCAATTATGGGATGAAGACTTCGAGAAAAAATTCAGAAAGAGTCACATTTAAAAGGTCTTTGGGAGGGATACGAAAAGAAGAATTTTAATGCGTCCTTCCCGGTGGAAAAAAACGTATATAAATCGCAGATTCATTTAATTACATAATCGAATCTCAAAAGATTTCAGATCCGGATTTCTGTCTTCAATCCAAGAAACAATAATTGATTTTGACAGCATTGTTTGTATGAATTTAGAAATTAAATGAACAAATCACTTTTGAGCCTCAAGGATTTAATAATGAATTCAAAAAGCAGAACTCTTGAATATCTAAATTCATACAAACTATGCTGTCAAATTTTGTCTTCTTTTTAATTTCTGGAAAAAAATGATTACGTGCGTAATAATGCTCAATTGCATAACTAAACATATTTTTAATACATAAATTGAATAGGTATTTGTTAAAAAGGGCTTGTCACATTAAAAAAATGCTTTTATGGCGCAATATTGACGCACCGGTTTTTGTTAACCCTGGATGCATGGACTCTGGAAGCTACTTGAATGCAGGGTCTCTGAGGCCCTCTGCAGTACGCTCACGAAAAATGCACATAAAGGTTTTTTAAAATAAATTATCATTTATTTAAATCACTATTAAAAGAACATGTGTGCGCATGCTGCCTATTACAAAAAATATATTTGAAATTTCCTGAATTTATTAAAATAGCTGAAGTCCTGGACATCAGTCCTTTTACCGAAATGAAATGTATGTTCATGGAGAGTCTGAAGTTATTTGCACTGATTTTATTACTGATATTTGTATATGAGTTAATCATTGTTGAGGTATTGTGTTGTAAGTAACATTATTCTGTATAAACTATACACAGTATCATTTCGAATAGATTTAGAAAGAGAAATATATGCTACAGATGATAGTGTTAGGAAAAATGACGAGACTTGTGTAAATCTAGGTAATTATAAACGAAATATAATTAAGAAAGGTAAGGTTACGTTGAAGGGGCATGAAGAAACATGGTCAAATCAAAATGGTAAGATCTTATCGGTTAGGGGATGACTATAAATGTTCCAAGAACTGTTTCTCCCAAAAATCAGAAGACTGTCAGTCTTCGTTAGTACTCAAGAGAAAATGAATGTTTTGATAACCAATGATCTGAAAATGATTTTATGAAATCTAAAAGGAACAAAAATGCCTAGTAGATGCATGGCAAAATTCTACATAATATTAAAATTCATGTCAGAAGTTTTTTTCAGAGAAAAGGTAGTAATTACAGTAAGACGCAAATAGTCTCTTCATGGAGATTTGAATGCGAAAATAATGTACAATATACTCAAAAACAAATATCCTGACATTCATTCGGATGACAGAAATTTGTTAAAGCAGTAGTGCCGTAGCGATCTCGAACTGAAAGATCGCGGAATCAGGTCCCGCATCGGGCATGGTTTATTTGTGTTCGTCCTTTCACTACTCACCATCACCATATCTCATCATACTGTTAACCCTATCGTTAATCTATAGTGGTCTCTAATGACCTAGCTGTTAATGCGAACTTAAATGGAAAAAAATATCAGTACATTAAAGTTAGCTACAGTTTCTATTATAAATATTTCAAAGATAATTTCAGGCTACGGTTTGAACAGTAACGAATGTTGTGTGTCTGTAAAGCATTAAAGTGAATACTCATGTCACCTCATCTAAATGATTCTGCAAAGAGGATTTTTTGTATTTACAAATGAAGTCCAACTAATATTTGATTTATATTTACTATGAAGGCTAGGAAAGAAAATTTCCTGATAGGTATGCTATTTCCGTATACACTTCTTGATCGCTGTTCCAGAACAATAAAACGAACTTCACTTATTTCTGATTTCTGATAACCATGACGGTCAGCATAAGAATCATTCCAATCTCAAAATCAATGTTAAGTCTTGTAGATATGAACGATTTAAGAAAGTAGATTATTTTCCTGTCCTTTCTGCCACATTATAGAGATTTTTCTATTAAGAAATGCTTTGTCAATGAGGTGGAAAAAGCACACCTTTGTTTTACGCCATGATTCATGTGCTTCTGTTCCGCAATTCAGTCTTCAAGGAGGAAGATTTATTACATACAAGCAAAAAGTTAGTGATATAATGAAAGTAATTCCGTACGTTGATGACGCTTATAAATATTTCTACCAGTAGTTTCAAACGTGGCCACAAGAGTGATAAGGATCATAAATAATTCCATCCATAATTTCATCCGGCTCATAAAATATATTTCCATGAAAATAATTTTTTTCAAAAATTGGTAGTTTTTGTTAAAAGGGATCATGTCCACCACTTTTAACTACTCCCAGGACCACAATTTTTTATTAGATTTTTTCAGTATGCTGTTGAGAAATGTGAGTTGAGTAAACAGTTTGATTTTGAACGCAGCAGTTTAAAAAAAATAATAGAAAGGATAAAATGAAGGGATTAGTACCGGGAGAGGTGCCCCAGGGAATGAACTGATGTCACTGAAGTGCTTCTGACCGGTAGATCCTGTGGTTCGAGTTCCGACGGTGGCAGGACTTTCGACATTAGACAGATAGCTAGGTCACGTGTTGGCGCTGCCTGAAGGAGAATTCTGGTGGAAGACTGCTCTGGTCGATAGTTTTCCGTGGTTTCTCCGATCAACACCAGACGAATGCTGGTGCTGTACCCTAACAAACGGGCCACGAGCCACGGACCGCGCACGATCTTTCCTTGCTCTTCCTTGTCCTATCCCCACCCCTTACTTACACACACTTACACTAACATGCATTATACTAAAACACATGCCGGGAGTCGGGTCGGGAGCTTAGAGCTTGTCTGGGCTGGGGCGGTGCCCCGCTGGTGGGAGACATCTGGTTGAGGGAAACCCCATTAGCCAGGGCAAGGTCAGTGCCGGATCTCGCCATCTAGCAGGAGATTACCGCCACCTCTTATCAGTTAGCTCGCCCGGAATCACTAGTAACTAATCTTCAGACAAGGACTTTGGTCCTTTCAACATATAGATATTCAATTCTCCTAGAATAAAAACACTACATTTAGAAATTAATTAATCGAACCACGTACCTCGCAGCACCGAACCCCACAACATGTTCTTCTACGGGGTAATTTTAATATAATACGGTTAATATACTGCGATAAGCTTTCTTATTGCCAGAGATAAATTGCCCTTGTGCCTTCCGCGGTTCAGCTCTCTTTCGTTTTGGATCTCATTAGAAATATTTTGCGGAATCAAATGTCTTTCTTTCTTGCCTGGATTTATTTTATTTTTAGATGTTCTTTATATCCATCACACTTTATGTTCATAGTAGACGCATTGGTTTGGCCCAATTTTTTTATATACTTTTTTAAATTTAGAAACGTTGTCCTTTTGGGCAACATGTGAGATTTGTTTATTGAGCTGATACGCATGATTTGCATCAATGATGCAGCACACACGTCAACCTTTTGCCATCCGCTGGTTATCCTCATCGTGAAAGATGGTGTTGCCATCCGCTGTTCTCCGCTCATCCTGAAAGATGGTGCTTAATAATGTGCAGTGATGTGCATCTTTGAGACTGCAGTACTGACTACTCCCCCGGCCGTGAGTTGTCGTTTATCAAATAAAAAGCGTCAGCAAATTGCTTAAGAATTATTCGTTGGCAGTAGTTCAAATCATTTGTAAAACATTGAAAGGCTGAGCTTTACCTCAAAAGTCTTCTTTCTGTAACTTATTTAATCATTTTTCTATTTCTACTCCATATTATTGTTTTAGTAGCTTGAAACCTTTCTTTTCTTGTATTTTAAACGTTTTACATACTTTTCCTTTTTTATACGTATTTATGTTTGTTTTATTTATTTTAGGCCGCTTTTTATTCACTTCACGTATTATTGTGTGTAATCGAAAACCAGAAAGACATAATTAACGATACAAATGTATTTGAAGAGATAAAGATTCATACAATGTCAATGAAACTACTTAAGGTAAAGTTGGTACAAACAAGAACTCATTTATTAACTGTTCGATCGTAATGAATGTTAACGTAAGTTCTTTTTTCATTTAAAAATGTCGGCTTTGCTTGGATCGTGGACGCAGGAAGGTTCTGTTTGCTATCCGAAGATTACTATGATTATGTTAAAATATGAAAATGTTGAAACAATGTTGTGCAATGTGTTCACACTTCATCGCCGTGTATAAGAGGATCGAAAGCTTTAATTCCAGGTCAGAACAACTGTCACTGATCTCCATCACTAAAGTAGATTAATTGAACGACTATAGTTTTGTTCCGACTATAGTTTTGCAATATCGCATTATTGATGACATACGCAAAGATATGAGAGTCCAAATTTTCCCAATTGCTATTATATGTAATATTAATGTGCAAACTGTGCATTCAATCGTTAAAGTTCTGTTAAAAGGTGTGAATCTCTTGAATGACAACACGCGCCCCCCCCCCATACCGGAACAGAACAAATGCTCGGAAAGTTGAGTGGGCGGTGATAGCGACGTCCTCGTGATGGCTCAGACCTCGTCACGAATAATCTTTAACCAAATCAGTCGCTCAGACTTTTTGGGCGGCAGTGACATCGAAGCGGCCAAAAAAGTTTGACAGGTTGGGAAACAAATGAACGTCACCTCAGACGATGGCTTCGCAAGAAAGTGTCGAGCAAGCCTATTGCAATGAAAGCATTGACGAATTGAATACACGGACGTAATCTGCAGTTTTATTATCAGCGGTAGACAGACACTAAGGGCCAAAGCGATTACTTTTTAGAGTAATCTCTCTAGACGTTCCATCGCCCGTAATTTGCTATATTATACAATTTCTGCACATTTAGATTCGTCCAAGATTCGAAGGGACAGAACAATAAAATTCTCAAATTCTATATAGAATTTAATTTTATTCTCTTTACGTGCTGTAAATTCTCACGAGACTTGTCTCAGTTTTTAATGAAGATAAACACGTTTTTACTCACGGTCTTTCAATATTTTTTTACGAACGGACTCTCTCTGCAGGGATCTTCTGATGCCACGTTCACTTCAGAGCCAGTCATACAAGTGTGAAGTGAGTGTGCGGGTCCAATTAGTAAACATCTAATTCCAGGTCAAAACAACTGTCACTGATCTCCATTGCTAAAGTAGATCAGTTGACTAGCTACTATCGCAAATATCGCAACGGAAATTCGCCAGTACGCTGCTATTAGTGCGCTGGCTACGGGATTATTTTAATTCCGTATTATATACTGCGATTTTCGCAACTCTGCCCCTGGTCGGTATCCACTGTTGACAGTTTCATCCAATCGGGTGACGTCACTACGGTGGCATTCAAGTTCCCGATTGGAAGAATCCGTCAACAGCTGATACCTGCAAAGGGCAGAGTTACATAAATCGCAGTATAGTCAATTTTCCCGTTTCTCTGCCCCTTCGTTAAATTAATAAGTAAACCGCTCCCCGTTCTCAATCTTTAGTAAATCAGTGTACGAATTAGTCCTGCTCTACGGTTTAGCCTTCTTTTGCATGAATACATCCCTCACTTGTAATTTCGTATTTTCCCAACAGGAGTGAAGGCAGTGGTGACATGGTGTTATGTTTGTAAATGTCTTAGGCTCACACGTGAAAGCGCACAGCCTTTCGACGGTTTTGTACCGTTCAAGTTTCGGCTGGTGATTCAACCCAATCTGCATTTCTTCAGTTCGCTTTATTTGGGAAATACGAGCTGAAAGAGTTTTCTCTGTACACAGTATTTTGTAAATCGGGAGAAAGTGTGCGTTGATAAGTCTATCAATTTTTCCAGAAGCGCCAGTAGAAAGTCGGTGCTCTCGGAAGTTGGTTACGGAGACCTGTCGGTGGGCGCAATGTGGGTCAGCAGGAGCCACCTCGAAATTACCGTTAGTGCGCTGGCTCCCCGCGGCTGAGAAAACTCTCGTTATGTCAGCTTTTATTTTCTTTCTGTGAATGGCTTCGCCGCTTTGCATATCGCAGTTATGAAGCTGTGTTGACTTCAGTGATTGTCTCACTCCTTGACCTCGGCGTCTCCTTTGAGATAACTGTGTTGATGTAGGGAAAAAAAACACGTTGAAAGATGCAACAGTAGTTCACGTTTGCTATAAAGAACGCAAAATAAGACCGAAGGGAATGCTACACGCTAAAGCTATAAAGGTTTATTTTTCTCTTTTAATTCACGGTTTCTCAAACTTTAAATCGCCTACTCCCGGAAATATGCAATATACACACAATTTCATAAGAAAGTTTGAAGAAGAAATGTTCCACTTAATTGCAAAGTTGGTGCATCCTTTTTCGTTCTTGTATTTATTTATTATTAAGTAAAAATATTTGTTTTACATTAATTAGAATATGGTACTTGGCATTCATGTATTATAGGAAGAGTATTAATAAATTATTATAATTTTTGTTTTTGAGACCACTAGGAGAGAAAGGGACGAAGAGAGGGAGAGAAAGGGACGAAGAGAGGGAGAGAAAGGGACGAAGA